AGAACTATAATTTTTAACTTTTAATATAAAATCATCAGGTAAACCAGCTAATAAAGAAATGAGTCTAAACAGTTGACAAACATTTTTAAAGAGGCACTTAATGAAATAAGAAAGGGAGGCCAATTGTCAACACTGTATCCAACACTATCGCATGTAACAATCCAGTAAAGCTATGTCATTTTCTAAACACACACAATGCGAAATCCCTGCGGTCCCTCCCTACTTCCACTAGTTGCTAACTGCACATCACTAAGAGAACTAACTAAACAAACAGACCCGTGCAGATCAGTCTGCTTGTCCACTGGGATTTTTAATCCACATAGGATATATCATTATCTTAGTTGGTAAGGAAAAATAAAACTATTTTATTCCTTTTGCCATATACTTTCTACAATAGGTAAAAGACAAAAATCATCAATATTTGTTTGCCATTGGCTTTATTTTCTGTCTCATTTATTAACATTTTTGGTTTCATTGGGGTATAAAAGTCAACAATAAAAGTCATTTCCCATGTTCTAGGATTAAGCATTGTCATGTCTAAAAACAAATAAATACATACATATAAGAGTCCTAGCTTTGATAACTAGAGTTAAGTAGAAAATCTGGAGCTTTGGCTCTCGCTATCGACTATGGAGACTTAATCATACTGGTTACCCTGACTTACAAGAAGAAAAACAAATATTAATCCCTTTGTTTAACCACATACCATTCTGACTGACCTAAGACACATGGATGTTGTCAGATTGTGACTCAATCTCTATTTTACTAGTGATGCAACTGAGGTCAGGTGGGTGGTGGGACATCCTAGGTCACCATACCTAGTAATGCCACTAACTAGGGCAGAGCAGACACTATTTCCCATGTTCTATTTTCAGTCTAATTCATTCACGTTTTATCACACTGCCCTCTAAGTTCACTCCCGTAGAACAATTGCCTATATGAATTATTATTCTACAGTACCGATTTCCCTTAGCTCTTAAGTTTGTGACCTGTTTACCAGACACTTTCTTAGAGCTAGCTGTGCCACAGCTTTGGTAATGACTGCAGCTCCTCCTCTCCCATGGGCATGAAGGGTGCCAACTAGCTGACCCCCCCCGGAGACCAGCTCTAGTGGTACATCCCTGTGGGACTAAAGGATGGGATCAGAACTGCAGATGATGGGAAGATGCGCAGCAGGGCTGGAGACACATTCGTAGACACTGAGAAAAAGGTGGGACAGAATTTACTTAACATTTGAAAGTTCATGGGTTACATCCCTGAAATTAAGAGGAGAACTCGAGGGGGCTGGAGAAATGGCTCTGGTTAAGAGTGTCTGAGTTCAATTCCCAGTCAAGTGCCTGGTGGCTCACAACCATCTATAACGGGATCTGATGCCCTCTTCTGGCATGCAGGCGTACATGTGACAAGAAGTAAAGCCCCACCTGGTACTGCGTTCTGGGAAGAAATTTTGGTAGCTATGTGCCACATGAAACCAGACCCTTCATCGACTGTTGCCTGAGCCAACTCAGAACAAAGGAATACAGCCTCAATTCCAGATTATAAGAGATTAAAAAAGAAAAGAAAAGAAAAAAGCAGTCTTTCTTGGGGGAAGCCTCCATTTGCATTTTCTATCCCATACCTCTCCGCCCCATGCTTTGTTCCTTCACAATCCATTCCTCTATCAAGCAAACGTGTTAGAACAAGGTGTGGAGCCCAATGGCAAACCACTGACCTAACATGCCTTAGGGCCTGGGTTTTATTTCCATCAATGAAAAAAAAATTAAACAAATAAATAAATAAAATTTTTAGAGTTGTATTTTTAAAGATACAGATATATGTAACATTTGTAAAGTGAAAAGACATAGCTCCTGATCCTTTGAGCCTGAAATGGCTGACATTCTTGATTTTGGTTAAATCAGGTCACGTGCCTCAGGGGGACAATCCTGATATGCTGCCAGGTCTTTCCCGTGCTGAGTTTGAATTCTGTGGACTCCGCCTCCTGGATGTACTGTACTAATTTTGACTTTATCAGCAGAAGAATGAAGAAAAGAAAAAACAACAACACGGTAGAAACAGATGGATTTAAGATGGCTGTAAATAAACTTTCTTTCTGGCCTCCTGCAAGCTATTTCTCTTGGTAACAGTGCAGTTGTGTGCTGCGTAACAAGCTTCCTCACCAGTGCACTATTTAGGACTATGCACACTGCAGTGGTCCCACGCGATTATAGGGAGCTGAAAAGTGCCTATCCTAGTAAGAGTGCAGCAGTCTTAATGTTACAGAGCAACACATTGGTGGCAGTGTCACTGCACACAAACCTGCCGAGCTGCCCACTGTATTAAGATATAACATGCGTATCTATGGACGGTGTAGCATAACTGATCGGGATAAAAAGATGCTACCTCATGTGGGTCTGTGCTAGTTCACATCATGCTGGTCGCACAATGATGAAGTCAGCCCGAAATGCTGTTTTCCGAATGTGTGTCCATACTAAATGGTACTAAAGAGCTACACAGACCTTGGGCCTTCGAATTAGGCAGCCAAGGTGACCATGCTACTTGTGTGTTTGCTGGCATTCCTTGTTGCTTCCCACATATTATTATCAAGTAATTATCACATCTTCAATGATTTAGCCAACTTATTTAAGCTTATTAAAGTGTGGCAAGAGCATATTGAAGAAACTCCAGGTGAAGATGTGAAGAATTATCATATTCCTAGCTATAGCAACCCAAACTCCAGTTGATCTGTACAGGGTCTTTATTGTTTGCTTCTCTGTTCTGGAAAGTTCTGGTGTCTAGATAAGGAATCTAGGAAAAAAAATCTCTAAAATTCTCGAGATGTTATTTTATCTTTAAGTTCATTCTACATGAATTTATACAAAAAGTCCTAAAACTGTGTGTAACTAGCCTGGGGAATTAAACTGATACTTTAAGCCTGAGCTTTTTCAAACTTTAAAATATGTAAATCATCTGGACATTTTGTGAAAATTAAGTTCTCAATCCAGTAACTGGACCCAAGATGTGGCATTTTATTTGTATAGTTGACGGCGCTGGTTCTGCTGGCCCTCCAGACACTCTCAGTAGCAAGCATCTTCTGCACACACAATGTCCCCCTTTATTTCTAAATTCTTTTATTTAAATCGTTTATTCTTATTTCATGTGCCTGCATTTGTGTTTTGCCTGCATATATGTCTGTGTAAGGGTGTCAAACCCACGGAACAGGAGTTACAGACAGTGGTGAGCTGCCATGTGTGCCTTGGTAACTGAACCCAAGTCTTCTGGAAGAGCAGCCAGTGAACTTAACCGCAGAGCCCCCAGCCCCTGTTTCTAAATTCTTATTCTGTTGATCTTTTGAGTTTCTTTTGTTTCTCTTTTTCTCGCCTTGAGTCATCCAAGAGTCACCATGGCTGCTTAACCATGGAGACGGCTATGAAGGCTCCTCAGTTCATAAGCTATAAAAGCTGCAAATGGGATGTCTCCATCAGACCCTTCCCCTCAGAGCTCAGGGGAGAGCTTTGAACTCTGCAGGACAGGAGGCAGAAAGAATGTAAGAACCAGAGGAAATGGAGGACACCAAGAAAACGAGGCCCTCTAAATCATGAGCAAAGCTCCATGAACTCAGAGACCGAGGCAGCACGCACAGGGCCTGCACAGGTCTGCACCAGGTCCTCTGTGCATACATTATGGCTTCCCGTTTTTTCTGGGACTCCCGAGTGTGTGAACAAGTGTGTCTGATTCTTGTGCCTCCTCTTGGGCTCTTTTCCTACTGTTGGTTTGTCTTGTCCAAATTTGATGTGACAGTTTTTATCTTATTATATTTTATTTTATTTTTATCCCTTAGAAGCCTGTTCTTTTCTCATAAGAGAAAGGAAGTAGATCTGAATGGGAGGAGAGATGGAGAGGAACTAGGAAGAGTAGAGGAAAGAAAAACCATAATCAGAATACATTAAATAAAAAAAAATCTTTTCACTAAAAGAGAGAAAAAATAAAAACAAACAACCAGGAGTCCAAGGCTAGCCCTCACTGCATAGCAAATAGAAGGCCAGCCTGGGCTATACAGGATGCTATTCCCCCCATAAAAGTTTCTAAAAGATATACAGATTTTTAAGTGAGCAAGAACGATATAGTATTATCTTAGTATATTTCTTAGCAATTACATATTTTCCTTAGGTTATGGCTTAACAAAAACTAAAAAGAACCTTATGATGTTAAGTTTCTTAATAGAAAGTAAGAGCTTGCCGGCTGTGTGAAGTCAACAATGCCCATGCACTGGCCTTAATTACAACTTGTTAACACCATATCCTTTTGAAGTCTAGTCTCAAGGATACAGAATACCCAAGAAATCGGGATAAGCCAACACCGGAACTACGGATGCTATGCAGTACTCCTTAAACCCACTTCTGGGTGTAAGGCATTATACTTCTACCAAATACCAAAATCCTCACAGGAATTGCTGGCTTTAGTACGAGCCCATTAAAATAACAAATGTTAGTATTCACACAGTGACAGACATGTTCTCCTAGAAGACTCTACAATCGCAATGTGTCTACCGGGAAGTCATAGTCTCTTTTTATGTGGGGAAACTGGAAGGATAACAGTTACACTTAAAATGGATCTGAAGCTCCTAACTTAAAAATCCATCTTCTAGCCATTACACACTGCAGAGCATTCATTGTTAAGCCGCGTTTGCCACAGGAACTGATTCCTTAAATGAAAATTGCATAAAATAGCTTGTTTCTCAGTAAGACTTAGAAACATAGTTTATGCAATGTTAGCTTCTTGCCAGTACGGCTGATAACACTAAGTACAATCCAACTGTGCAGCAGCAGTATTTTTGCAAGAAGGAAGCAGAATCTGACCATTACACGCCATCAACCAGGCAACAGCGCCTCCTAGTGGCCATATGAAAAATAATAAGAACTATCTGAAGTCACAACATCTAAAATCTAGAAGCTAATCACGAAGGATTATATAAACTGGTGGAGAATTAAAGAGAATTTGTATTCAAGATTAAAAGATACTACCCAGAAGCTCCAGTCACCGCTCCAATTGTGTGTGCTTGGCCCTTGTTTTTTGGCCGATACTATATTATTCTCATCCACAACAGGGCTAGGATTTTCCTCAGCCTCTTCCTGTAGCTCCGTGGCAACTCTTGAGTCCCCTTCATTTACTACCTGCAAATAAACGCCAACAATTTATATATTGGCAAATGACATTTTGAAAGAGAAACATGTTCAAATATGTAAATTACTTTCAAAATTCTTGTTGTTGTTGTTTCGAGACAGGGGTTTCTCTATATAACTTCTCTGGCTGTCTTTGAACCCAATTTGTAGACCAGGATGGACTCAAACTCACAGAGATCGGTCTGCCTCTGCCTCCCGAGTGCTGGAATGAAAGGCATCCAACACCACTGCCTGGCTAATATAATTTAATATCATTTAAGTTTTCTATTTTAAAACATTTTAAATGGTGTGTGAGAGAGAAAGAGCGCTTGTACACACGGGCCATGAGGACAAGTGAGGATCAGGAGACAACTTCCAGGGGCCATTTTTCTCCTTCCATCATGTGTGTCCCAGTGAGCAAAGTCACATAGTCAGACTTGGGGTAGGCACCTTTCTTTACACACTAAACGATCCCACCAGTCGCATAAGCTAATTTGTTTTTTGGTTTTTGTTTTGTTTTTGAAACAGGGTTTCTCAGTGTACCTTTGGAACCTGTTCTGGAACTCACTGTAGAACAAGCTGGCCTCTGACTCACAGAGAAATCTGCCTGCCTCCGCCTCCCGGCGTGGGCCACCATTGCCACGCCCCATAAGTTAATTTCTAAAGAAAAATATCTAAACACTTAAAAGATGTAAATTAAGACTGAAGAGATGGCTCAGTTGAAAATGTGCTTCCTGAACAAGTCCCCCCTTAAGTCCCAGCACCCACATATAAGTTGGCCATGTGCCTGGTGCTGGGAGCTGGGACAGGGTGCAACAGGTGGACCTCTGGGGTTCAATGGCCAGGAAATCTTGTTGAATTGGTGATCGCTGTGGTCAGCGAGAGACCTGTATCAAAAAATAAGGAGGTGAGTAATTGAGGCAGACATTCCATATTGACCCGTACATGTATGCACACACCACAAACATATGTATGCATACAAAAAAACAGAAACAGATGTTTTGCTTCTACCATTCATCATTCATACATGTAGCAAATATCTCCCAACCACTGCCATTTTCTAGGTAGCTTACTTGATACTAGAAACACGAAAATAAGAAAAACAAAGTTCTTAAAGACCTCGCTAGAGGTTCATGGTCTGGGGAATAAATAATCAAACAATTTTAAAATACAATGTATTGAGAATATGGCCACTTTGGAGAAATATCTGTAATGCCCAGTAGGGTCTAATTTTAGGAATATATTACAATCCAGCAACTTAACACACACAACAAACCAAGGATGCCTTTAATGATGATAGAGTAGAAATCTCATCACCCATTGATGCATTAGTGAATAAACTAGATTATTGGTGTTAGCCGGGTGGTGGTGGCACAACACACCTTTAATCACAGCACTCAGGAGACAGAGTGTGAGTTCAAGGCCAGCCTGGTCTACAAAGCTAGTTCCAAGACAGCCAGTTCTACACAGAAAAACCTTGTCTCGAAAAACAAAATGAATGGGAGGGGGGAGGATGAACAAAAATTTGATGGTAAACTAATGAATACTATGTCTTGAGCAGGTCCAAGACTTCAGTCTAGAGGACTCAGAGAAATGATTTGTGCTTTTTGAAGGAAATGGGACCACTGGGTCGTTGTTCATGAAAGGGCTGTAATTGGAGGGGGCGGGGAGTGGTTGGGAGCAGGTCCCACGAACATCCTCACTGCTTGCAGTTACCTCTGCCTCCGCTATAACAAAACTGTTCCTCGGGGTTCCTCGGGGTTACAGGGAAAGGCACACAGGGCAACAGGCAGTGGATCAAAGGAGGAAGTCAACTCAATTTAAACTCAGAAGTTTTAAACCCATGGAAGGCCCTCACCCTGGTGATACTGATTGTGGCTCTCTGGAGAAGAGATTTATAAACCATAATAGCTAAGAGAGATCTCTTCTGCATGAACTACATCCACCACAAAAAGAAGGGATGGGTATACCTGGATACAGAGAGAAAAACAAGCGGAAGTACATAATTTGACCCCGTTAGAAACACAGTATTTATTAAAATAACTTTTTATATGACTCCTTCTCCCAAACCCTCAGAATTACTTGTCCAATTTATTTTCTGTTTTAAAAAAAGGCATTTATCTATTTATTTGCTTATTTATTTATGTGTGTGGTGTTTTGTCTGCATGTATATCTGTGCACTGTGTGTTGTGCATGCCTGGTGCCCTCAGATGTCCTAGGATTGGATTACAGGTGGTTGTGAGCCATCTTTTGGGCTCTGTCCTTAAAATAACAAAAAGGTGGACGTTTGTGTCTCCATAACATAGAATTTGAAGTTCTGGATTAACTTCAACAGCTCCTGAAATACACCCACCAGCAAATCTTCGTAGCTAATCACTAGTAGGTATCACTCATACTGTTTGGGAAGTTACTCAACACAAGACAAACAACAAAGGTTACTGGGCATGCTTCACTTTGACTTTGGTCATCAAAATCACTGCCCTGGGTTGGTGAATGGTTCAGCGGGCGATGACATTTCGGGTGGAAGAAGAGAACCAACTGTACAAGTTGTCCTCTCACACCTACACATGCAACACACACACACACACTCACACACACACACTCACGAAATATAAATAAATAAGTAAGTAAATCAAGCCTTATTAACTTCTTCGTGGTTATCTGGGCCCATGAAATGTTACTGCCCACACTCTAGGTGGGTCTGTCCAGTCTAGCCTTTCACGGACATGCCCAGAGCCTTGTCTCTTTGGTATTTTAGGTCTGTCAAATTGACAATCAAATCAGGTATGATACCGTCGAATGCAGAACTTTAAAGGCAAGAACTCAACTGATCCAAATCTAGGCTTTGTGGCTCAACTAGTGCAAAAGGGCATGGCCTCCCTGCCCTCATTGCTTACACAGAGACTAGAAAAAGGTCACTCCTCTCCCAGACTTTATCTTCCAGAGAAGCAACTTGGCTTCAATAGAGGGAGCAACAGCAGGCATCTGGACACTTTCTGAACAGCATTGGGCAACACTGTCACAAGGGTCCATGCTCTGTGGAGGACTATCCCTCTCTCCCTTAACTAGACATCCCCCTGGGAAAGGGCAGACCCTACGGGTTTACCCAATGGACTGAAACCTCAGGAAGTCCTCTTAACACTAACATGGAAATGTTCTGGCTAACGGTTGGCTGCATCTGTACATTGCACAGATTCTCAGGTCATTGCCTGAGTGGTGCCCCTCTGGAGTGAGCAGTCACACTGATCCCTAAAGGATAAAGCAAGGCCACACATATGAATGCACACACTAAATCTATAAAGACAAGGCCTCACCAGTCACTCCTGACCTCTTCGGAGTTCTAGATATACCCACCATGCCCAAGGCTTGGTTTCTCAAAATAGGACTCTGAGCTCTTGAACAAGGTTTTCCATGGAACTTTCACCTTCCTCTCTGGTCCCAGGCTTCAGGTCACAGAAGGAGCACTGGGGCTTTCTTAAGATAAAATCCAATTAAATAGTACTGGAGAGATAGCATACTAGGTAAGGTGCTTGCCATCAAGCATGAGGACCTGAATTCATGCCCCTGGATGCCACCTCCCCTCAAACACACACACACACACACACACACACACACACACACACACACACACACACACATAGCCCAGTGTGGTGGCTTAAATGGTGAAGACAAGAAGATCTCTGGGCTCCTTGGTTTCCTGACCAGCCAGGCTAGCCTAATCTATGAGCCCCAGGCCAGTCAGAGGCCCTAGCTCAAAATGTCAAGGTGATATTACCTGGGGAATGGCATGTGAGGTTCACTTGTGACTCCCATAGTGACTGAACACTTGTATAGTACATACAAGCATCTGCATACATGTAGGTACTTGCATACACACAACTAAAGTTCAAGTTTAAAAAATGGCACGTTTCAGTTACCCTCAAAGCCATGGGTGACTTAGAACAAAGTGATTTACTTTTTTGTTTTCCTGGGAGCTAGTTTTCCTCACCTCTCCCTCTCCCTCTTCTGGACAACTGGGTAAAGAAAGTGTGTGTCCTTTCCTGTGGTGTGGGAGCCACGGTCACACAAAGCACCCTGTTCAACTGCAGAAACTGCCGCTGAGGTCTCTTCCTTCAGTCTCGGTAGTGGAGCCTCTCTTTACCTTGTAAGCCTTTCCTGCCCTTCCCACCTGCCCCCTCCCCACTCATCACTCCACACCCCTGAGGCTTGAACAGCATCCGTTCTGTATCAGCTGTGTCATTCCCTCATGTTCAACCTGGCTCCTTAATTCCACAGAAGGGATAACATCCCCCAGCCCGATCCATTCGGTCAATAGGTTCACCATGTTATTCCTCAGTTGATGGATAGAGTTCACCTGTATCCTATTTCATAGTAATGTTTGTGAATCTAGTGAATAATGCATCTATTCATTTGCTCATCCAAACAATTGTTTGAACGGTACCCTTGGCTACGCTAAAATGCTTCTCTAAAAGAAAATATTTACACACAACCACCCCACCATAATGCTGTGAGGACAGTGTTGAGCAAGTATCCTGCAACAAACAAAAGGGTTTCACCTCAAAGACCAATCACCAACTCCTTCCATGTGCCAGATAAGGAGGTAAATGACAGTGCTAGTTGAAACCCAAACAAAGCGGTTGAGATCCTGGGGACTTAAAGTTTGGGGTCCTTTTAACCGAGAGCTGATAGTGAAGGGAGGCGGGCAAGAGAGATCCCACCTCAAAAATCACAACAATGGAACCAGACCCACCGGGGTCTGGGACTGGGACTGGGGCATTTCGGGGACCAAACTCAAGCCCTTGACACGTGGTCGCCCAGCCGGGAACAGGTTCGCGGGAGACACAGAAAACCGTTTCCTTGGTAACAACTTTCCGAATTACGCCCAAGAGTACCGGGGAAAGGGAAGGGAGGAATTCATTATCATAATCGGAGGGTTCAAACAGCTATGCCGGGGAAACTGCCGGCCAAGCCACCTCTCGGGGACCTGCCTGCCCCTCGAGGCCGCTTACCTGGCGGGCCATCAGAGCGCCCTCCATCGCCGCACGCTCCCGCGGAACCCCGCACGTGCGTCCCAGCGAGGCCTGGCCGCCAGAGGGCCGGCCAGGCGCGTGCCCGCTGCGCGCTCCCAGCTCCGGCCCTCCGAATCCCACCTCCAAGTTCAGCCCGGGAGCTTTGCGTCCTCTGGCGGCAAGTAGTGACTATTGCCTTTGGCCAAGTCCTTAAAAGCTAATTGTTAGCTAGGATGTCAACCACACTTAGTAGGGATCAGTGATGAGCCTTAATCCTGACACAGAGTCCTGTGTCTGCTGTGAAAAGCAGAGGGGTGTTATTCTTTGCTGGGACTGGATTGGGAAGCTATTATCTTGTACATAGAACGACTGTTCTCCTATATGGATGTATTCGACGTCACCGAACGTATGCTTAAAAACTAATAAAACAGGCAGGACAGGATAACACATGCCCATAAACCATGCAGTAGGAAGACAGGAAGACCATGAATTGGCCAGCCGCTTGGGCCACAATGAAGTACAAGGCCACATGAGACCCTGGATCCCAAGAAAAAAGTAAAACAAACAAAAATCTAAAAAGCCTCTGGTAAAATTTTATGTTTCTCTTGTATACCTATAAAAGTCACCAAGCACACACCAATAAGTACTAGAAGAACCAGAATTAGACACATTGTGCAACGTGGAGAGGGCACAGCCTGGCCTCTAGCATTGCCACACTATATTAAAAATACTAGGGAATTGGAGCCATAGTTCAGTCCTTGAGAGGCTCAGCTTTCATTTCCCAGAACCCTTGTCAGGCAACTCACAGCCTCCTGTCACTCAAGCTCTGTGGCATCCTCTGGCTTCCAGCAGCACTACACTCAAGTGCACAGCCCTGCCTGCACACAAACACACACACACACACACACACACACACACACACACACAGAGTCGCTTTAAAAAAATCAACATAAAAAACAATGGGAAGTGTTAGGATGAACGATGTTAACATCTAATTGGTGGAGGATGGGTGGTAACAGAGGTGATTATTGGAAAAAGAAAAAGAACTGGGATTAAGAGAAAAAGGAAGAGTGGGCGATTGACTGTTAAAGATGACCGAGGGAGGGGTAAGAAAAGCAGCAGCTTAGAACTGAATGAGAGTCTTCTTAGTTATTGAAACAACTCTTATTGAAAGAGTAAAACAAGTAGCAAAGAGGGAAAACAACATAAGCACGGAGCAGAGTTTTTCAATATGAAAAGAAACTTCAGCCCGAATTGGTGGTACACGCTGGCAACCATAGCACTAAGGAGGTGAAGGTAGCAAGATTGGGAGTTCAAGCCAGCCTTGCCTGAGCCTCCTTACATAATGAACTTGAGGTCAGTCCAGCTAGACCCTGACTCAAAACCAGCACTCCTCAAAAAACAAACAAACAAACAAACAAACAAAATTAAGTGTGAGCTGGTAGATGACTTAATAGAAGCAGTCGCAGGGACATTTCCAGGCATGAATTTCAAAGCTGGGATTTTAAGAAAGAATAAAGGAAAGAGAACTGCTCTTTCCATGGGTTTGGTGTATAACTGAGCGACTATCATTGTATGACACATCACCCAAAACCTTAGAATCTGAAAGTGAGAAAAGGCATTCACTATCTCTCGTGGTTTCCATTGGTCAGAGATATACAAACAGCACAGGTAGAAAGTGCTGGTCTCTCACAAGACTGCTCTAGGTGATCACATGGCACACCAGTCCTCAGACACCCTGGCTGAGCCTGGAGCATTCACTTCCAAAGAGCCTTACTTACAGCGCTGGTGGCCTGGTACTGGCTATTGGTCTGGGGCCTGGGTTCCTCTCCATTAGGGTTTTTCCACAGGACAGCTTGAGTCCTCATGTTGTAGATGCGGCTTTCCTCAGAATGTATGATCTGAGAGACATGGGTGAAAGCTGCAGTGCTTTCTATGACCTAACTTTAGAAGCTACACAGTTGCATTGCTTTCTACTGGGGCCAGCTTGCTTTGTGTCACCGCAGGATAACTATACTGGACGTGAGCACAGCTACCTCTGGTGACACTGGGGAGGAAACAACCTGAGTGACCTGAATGGCCTGCAGAGAGAACAAGATCCTCAGAAGAATGCCAGGCTGATGGAGTTTAGAGAACTTTCACAGGAAATACAGAGAACCTGGAATTAAGGGGATTGTGTAAATGTCTCATCTTGAATTCCATAGAACACTAAGGAAAGAGGTTGGGCTGGAATGGTCATAAAAATATGTTGAGTTGAAAGAACATGTGTGCACTGTAGTGAGAGATCCACCCGACCACACCTGTGGCACTGACCATGCCCATTTGGGCTTGTAGGTAATCGTGTGGTATTTAGTCTGGGGTCCGGGACAGGCTTGCTCTCTCTTGGTTCCGGTCAGGTCATGGAGAACAGCCTGGGTGTGGATCCTTGGAGCAGGAACTTGTGGTTCATTAGTTTCTCATATAAGTGACTTCTCCCAAAATAAAACATATAACCCATATTTTATCCTTGTCCTGTGTGTCTTAATCTGTATATCATTAGTGCACTGCCAGGACTGTATACAATCATGGGACTTCCCACTTACCCTATCCTGGAGGTCCACAGGCCCAGGTGGTATCTTATATGCCATAATTTTACTCTTTACTAAGTGACAGATCCCTGAAGTATGGCACTCTAGCTGACAATTAATTTTGAGAATAGTTTTAAGGAGTTTAGAAGCTTCACACTTTCTTTTAGAATTTACCTTTCTGAGACAGGTCACCATTACGTAGCTCAGGGTAGCCCCGAAAGACCTGGGAATCTTGCTGTTGGGATTACAAGGGCTCACCACTATACCTGGCTTCAAAGGTCCTTAATATTCAGTGTGATTAGCTTTGGTCCAAAGTTCTCAAGAAATGTCAGCAATAATTTTTAATCACATATTTCTAGTTTTGCTACTGCATCACAAGTGAGCAAATGCATGGGGCTAGAGGAATAATTAAGAGCACCAATATGTCAGCTTCCAATGGTCTCTAATCCCAATTCCAGGACTTCCGACACCTTCGTCTGGCCTCTGAAGGCACCAGGCACACATGTGCACATATATACATGCAGGCAAAACATTCACATACATAAAAATAAATCATTTTTAAAGTGAGAAGAATACAATCTGTAGATTAATTTTATTCCTAAAACATACCAAAACTAAAGAAGAATTGTACACAGACAGAAAGGACAAGGAAAGGTAAAGCAAGGGAATTTTGTAAACTATTGAAGCAATGAAACGATTGGCAATGGATTCGTACAACTGAGAAAGCCAAGCCCCAGACTGAGCTAGGGGAAGCTGAGGGCCCAGCTGACTTGTACCAGAGTGCTCAAAAGCCTGAGAAACAGCTGCATTAATATGCCTTTGAAGCTGGAGACAAATGGAAAGAGTTTTCCAGGTCATTTGCTCTCACCAGGCTCCCAGCAAACTATACTTTTCTTATGGACAGTTTCTCCTTAAGACCACTGAGTACCCTCCTTGAGAAATAAAGCACTGGAGAAACTGTTTATTAAGAAATAAATGAAAATGAAATGTGGAATGCAAACAATGGAAAATTTCAGCAGAGTGATGAAAATAGTTGCCAAGAGGATGCTGAAGCCAGTCCCCAGAATGGCCAATGTACACTGGCCATGGAAGGTGACCAGTCCAGACTGGAGCAGACCCACCCAAGAAAGAATCCAGGTGAGTAGATCTTCTCCCCGATACTGTTAGTCTTTTCCCTTCCTTTCTCAGAGGACAGAATCCTCCACAAGCCAGGATGGGGTCCTTCCGTTTCTATGTCCTTCACCCCACAGATTGCTTCCTGATTGCTCCCGAAAGCAGGAGGTAGCTGTAGAAGACTTAGAAGTAGAAAACACCAGACAATCCATTCTCTGGCCATATTTTTGCCAAATATGCATGTTTTGGTCAGTTGCTCCAAATACCAGGACCCTGTGCCTCCCAGGACAAGCTTAGGCCCTGCACACTGCCTTTCTTGGAAAGACACTTGTGAACCCTCAAGCAACTGAAGTCAAGTCAAGAGCACAGGCACTGGAAGGCGTTATTTTCTCTGAATGTCTCTAATGTTGGTGGCAACATTATAGTAAGATTGGTGCTTGCTATACAGTTCTGCTTTTTTTTTTCTTTACATGAGTATATTTAGAGATGCATGTGTGGATGACCTAGCTTTAAAACAACTACTGGTGAATACTAAAGTAATGTTTATCTTTGGGTGGAATAAAATGGAAGCAATTGGGTAGGAACAACATAAAGAGGTTTCTATATTATACCAATGTTCTATTTCTCAAGCTGAGTAATGGGTGCACACACTATTTTTAAATTGTTTGTGTAAATATATTTTCTACTTTTTATGGTATATCTCACATATTAAACAGTTAGCAAAAGCAATGGTCTTTTAATTTAGATATTGATTGGATTTGGGTGGGGTTTTTTTTTGTTTTGTTTTGTTTTGTTAGTTTGTTTTTTTGCTTTGTTTTGAGGCAGTTTCACCAAACTGGCCTGGAACATTCTATGTAGCCCAAACTGTCTTCCAATTCAGAGATTCACAGACCTCTGTCTCCCAAGTACTAGGATCAAAGGCATGTGCCATCATGGTTAGCCTAGATATTGCTTGTTGGGAGTTGATTGACAAAGTATTTTTATGATTTGGATAGATTTTGTAAAATGAAATTAGCCAAAACTTATTCATAACCTGATGGGAAAGGGCCAAGAAAGAACAGAGGTTTAAGGGAAGTCGAGTGGGCAGAGGTAAGATTTGTTGGGTTAGGGGCATGAGCACCACTGGACAGAATTTAAAATGCTGAAATAAGGTATGTGCGGAGCTGAAGTTAGCATTCGAGTAAAAAGAAAAGGAAAAAACGCACTTCGTAGAGTTCCCAGGTCACTTGCTGCAGGTTCCTCGATTCATGTTTCATTAAGATGTGAATTATTTAAATCCATCCCGAGCCAGTTTCTAAAATGAGATGCCTTATGCCATCTAATGCCACACTATGACATCTGCTTCTAAATAAACAGGCACAGCTAACCTGACTTGCCATTTCTTTCA